ACACACACACACACACACACACACACACACACACACACACACACACAGACACAAAGACGCACAGACTTACACACAGACGCACACACACACACACTCCCACAGACACACAGAAACTCACACTCTAATGCATCATCTTTTTTTTTTACAGGACATTGAACCCCCCCCCTCCCCAGAACCATCACAGAGCCCATTCTGATCAATACTTTCCCCTTTATGCCTTCCCTCATATGCATTCACAGGGTCAGTCAGCATCTATCTGAGGGGGGGGGGGGGGGGGGGCGGGTACCTGTAATTTTTGACCACCCCCCCCCCCCCCGCTTTCGTCTTTTAGTTGGAACAGGGTAGAGGTTTTGGATCGATAAAGACTTGACTGTAGAGGCTGGATTTCTATTCGCTGTGTGAGAACGTGATGCAACACGAGGTAATGTGAGTTAAGAAAAACGTCACGCGCTCTGGATTTTAGAGCTCCACAAACCAAGCAGAGGCGAGGATGGAATTTAAAGGGGGAAAATAAAGAACCGTGGAGGGTTTTTCTTTAAAATGCTTCTGTTTTGAGAACAGTTTTCCTCCTAAATCATTCAGCTGTATTTTTCAGATTTTTGCAAATGATAGTGTATGCTGACTTTTTTTTATTAGATCAGCAGTTTCAGTTTAAATGTGTTACTTTAAATAACAACAGCATCTAAATGAAAAAACATTTAATTATTTTTTTAAATTATTTTTTTAAATTAATTATTATTTAATATATCACAACTCTCAGAAATCCTTCAGCTAAGCTTCCTGTTGGATTCTCTCTGTGAGTTTTGGTTTATCTCTGTTGTGACTTTTTGGTCAGGAACTTTGAATATAGGAATATTGTTTCTTCCCAGTAGGTTAGAGTGCATTTTATCAGGCGTCAAGTAGATATGTCTTTATTTATGCAGCTGTTTTATTCATAAATTGGACAAATTGCAGGTTTATGACGGGGTTTGCATTCATCCAGTCATGCCAAACTCTGAGCAGTTTCCATCTGAAGGTGTTCAGAGTTCGGTATCTTTCTCAAAGGTGTCTCGGCTCCAGCTGTCACAGTTGTGCCCATTTTTTCCCGGTCCATTCCCTTTTTCCCCTCACCCACCTTTTATTTGACTTGAGTCACCTGACCGGTTCACCTTTTACCTACCGCCCTGTTATCTACACACCTGAGTTCTCACCTGTAACTCATTCCCATCTCATTTTCCCAGTATTTTAGCTCCCTCAGTTTTCCTCTTCATTAATAGTTCGTGTTTCATCTGTGAGACTCTCGGTGGATTTCTGCATCGCTCCTCAGCCCTTTTTTTTTTTTCCCGTTTCTGGACTTTATCCACAGTGTCTGCGTGTGGTAATTCTGTTTCTGCCTTGTGCACCCTTTTTCTGTTTTAGTGGACCTTTCTTTTCTTTTCGTCGTTCCTGCTTAGCAGAGTTTTGTGTTTGGATTTTTTGAAGACCTCTTTAAAATAAAGACTGTTAAATTGGCCTTCCTGGTGTGTTGCATTTGAGTCCTGGAATACCTGCGTGATACCAGCTCTTGAGCCACGGCCTCTCAAAAAAAAAGGAAAAAAAAGCCTGTGTGTTTAGATTCAGATGCAAGCAGAGATGGGAATGTGTTTTTCCTCCTGCTCTCTGTTTGTTTTACTGCCTGCTCTCTTTCCTCTTGTCCCAGTTAATACATCCTTCCATCCTTCTATATCCTCCTTCCAACCAAACCCCTCAAACAGACACTGGAGGGAATAGCTCGGGGTCATTTTGTCTCCCTCTTCCTTATCAGCTCTCTCCACTCTTCTGGTGCTCTTTGGGCTTTTTGAATAGGGCTTTTCTCTCTTCTCTCGGCCGGCCTCTGGTGCAGAATCCCACCACAGGCTGATCAAACGCCGGCCTCTCGTGTGGAAGTAAGAAGTCGAGCTCTGGGCCGATAAAGCCGCTAATGATTTTTTATTTCTGTGAGCTGATCTCTGTCAGCTGTTTGCAAATGAACAGAGGCTGGTTAAAAAAAGGAAAAAAAGCTTAGCTCCTTCGTCACAGTTTCCCAGAGTGCACGTGTCACTTTCTCAGGCTGTTTTCATCCAGGTGGTTTCATCCATATCATTAATCATATCATGAACATCTCCTTTTCCATGTTTCCTCCATAGCTTGAGGTTCCTCCCTACACTCTACTTTAGGAATGTGTTTTCTCAAATGTTTATGCTCTATGAACAGAACAGTCTGAGCTTCAGAGTCTACACTCGCTTCAGGAAAACACGTAAAACAGAGCTTCCGTTTGTCTTAAGCTCATATTTTCTGTTTGCTTTCCTGCTAATGGGTGAGACTGAGCTCAAATGAATTGTGATATTTGCTCTGTGAGCTGATCTCCCTCCAGAAGTACAGTTAGAATATGTTTTTATCCATATCAGGAACATCTCCTTTTCCATGTTTCCTCAATAGCTGGAGCATCCTCCCTACACTCTACTTTAGGAATGTGTTTTCTCAAAGGTTTATACTCTACAAACAGAACAGTCTGAGCTTAAATCTGAGCTTCAGACTCTACATTCGCTTCAGGAAAACACGTAAAACAGAGCTTCCGTTTCTCTTAAGCTCATATTTTCCGTTTGCTTTCCGCTAATGGGTGAGACTGAGCTCAAATGAATCCTGATTTTTTATTTCTGTGAGCTGATGTCTGTCAGCTGTTTGCAAATGAACAGAGGCTAGTAAAAAAAAAGGAAAAATCTCCTTCGTCACAGTTTCCCAGAGTGCACGTGTCACTCTCTCAGGCTGTTTTCATCCAGGTGGTTTTATCCATATCATAAACCATATCAGGAACATCTCCTTTTCCATGTTTCCTCCATAGCTTGAGCATCCTCCCTACACTCTACTTTAGGAATGTGTTTTCTCAAATGTTTATGCTCTACAAACAGAACAGTCTGAGCTTCAGAGTCTACACTCGCTTCAGGAAAACGCGTAAAACAGAGCTTCTTTTTGTCTTAAGCTCATATTTTCTGTTTGCTTTCCGCTAATGGGTGAGACTGAGCTCAAATGAATCCTGATTTTTGCTTTCTGAGCTGATCTCCCTCCAGACGTACAGCTAGAATATGTTTTATCCATATCAGGAACATCTCCTTTTCCATGTTTCCTCCATAGCTTGAGCATCCTCCCTACACTCTACTTTAGGAATGAGTTTTCTCAAATGTTTATACTCCACGAACAGAACAGTCTGAGCTTAAATCTGAGCTTCAGACTCTTCACTCGCTTCAGAAAAAAAGACAGTTTGTCTTAAGCTCATATTTTCCGTTTTCTTTCCGCTAATGGGTGAGACTGAGCTCAAATGAATCCTGATTTTTGTTCTGTGAGCTGATGTCTGTCAGCTGTTTGCAAATGAACGACGGCTAGTTAAAAAAAGGAAAAAAAGCTTAGCTCCTTCGTCACAGTTTCCCAGAGTGCACGTGTCACTCTCTCAGGCTGTTTTCATCCAGGTGGTTTTATCCATATGAACATCTCTTTTTCCATGTTTCCTCCATAGCTTGAGCATCCTCCCTACACTCTACTTTAGGAATGTGTTTTCTTCAATGTTTATGCTCTATGAACAGAACGGTCTGTTCTTAAATCTGAGTTTAAGACTCTAGACTCGCTTCAGGAAAACGCGTAAAACAGAGCTTCCGTTTGTCTTACGCTCATATTTTCCGTTTCCCTACACTCTACTTTAGGAATGTCTTTTCTCAAATGTTTATACTCCACGAACAGAGCAGTCTGTGCTTCAGAGTCTACACTCGCTTAAGGAAAACACATAAAACAGGCTCATATTTTCTGATTGCTTTCCGCTAATGGGTGAGACTGAGCTCAGAGGAATCCTGATTTTTGGTTTCTGTGAGCTGATGTGGAGCTCGTTTGGGCTCCCCGGGCGCTGGTTCTGTCTGAGGTGATTGTGTCAGCGTGATCATTTTTGCGGGAGTTGAGATGCATTCGTTGGGCCGTGACCAGCTGTCAGTCCACAGCTCCCTGTCTGGGCTTTCTTTTTTTTATTTATTTCACCTCCCTCTTTCCTGTCAGCCTCAGTAAAGATGCTTCGCGTGATAAACTGATGATTTTTGCATGTTCTGAAACTCAAAGGATAACATTTATGTCCAGATCTAAGATGGTTAAAGCTGCTACAGATGTGAAATACATACGATTAAATTCATCAAGTTGCCTACTGATGGTTACAATAAGGCAAAACAACCCCATTTTAGGATCTCAAACCAGTGAATTGGGCTGAAATAGTGACCAAAGGATTGGTTTCATCCAGTGGAACATCTCTAAATCTATTGGATGGATTTGCATACATTAAATGGATAATATATCTGAATTTAATTCACAAATATGCCCGACTTTTGTTAGTTTGGGGCCATCTGATGGCTGGGGCCAAAACATCCGCCTGTTATGAACTGGTGCATCTTGTATACATTTTTAACATTTAACATTTAAATATTTACTAAATCAACAGCTCCAGAGCTTGATATAAACACGTTTGACTCATAGAGTTGCCACCATTGCATTATTGGAATTCTTTATCTACATTTTTCTGATTTTTCTAGAAGTCCAACTCTGCCCAATCAGGTGCATTTCCCCATTTTCCCCTCGTTCTCCGCTCACTTCTTTTTTTTTTTTTCTCCTCCTCCTTCCAGCTTTTGAGGACTTTGTGTCTTTGGCTGAGATGGAGGACGCCCTGTTGAGGAACCTCTTTAAAGGCTACCAGAAGTGGGTTCGGCCCGTTCAGCACGCCAACGACACCATAACGGTTCGCTTTGGACTGAAAATCTCACAGTTGGTGGATGTGGTGAGAAAACTGTGTTCACATCCACAAATACACACAAGGGAATACGACTCATAGGCAGATTAGCTTTAGCTTTAGACCTTTAGTGGCATTTCTGGGATGTGATTTGTTCTCTAGGAAAGATATTTTTTTCCACAAACATATAATATATACACACAAAATGTATGAAAACATGTTTTTTAAAGACGGAAATGTCAAATCTGAGTCTTCATTCACAGCTGTCTCTATCTATTCAAACCGTTTTATAGTATATAAAACGGACAATAAATGTTGTTTTATGCACTGTTAAATGGCCAGTTAAATCCTGTTATCGTGTCTTGTGGAGTTGAGGGTTAAAGGAGCAGGTTGCATCTTTTAAGACCGAATGCAGAATATTTACAGCGTAATAAGGTATCATAGATGGATGGAGAAGGGAAATGAGAGGATAGAGATATAAACAAATTGTGTATTTAAAAGAAAACAGTTTATAGAGAGAAAGGAATTGAGAATATTATAGGAGCTATAAAAGAAGCTTTATCTTAGAGGGCGAGATCCTACAAGAGAATGTATTTCTGTGTTTCAAACAACAAAGAAAATTGAAAAAAACATTATCTGGAGGTCCCAAAGCGGCCCTCCAGATTGCAGGAGAGCTGATCTTATTTATTATTCAGCCAAGAACACGCAGTCCTACACAAGAAACGGCTTGAAGGGTAACTGTGTCACATGTATTCTTCTTAAGGGTCACACAGCAGTAACGTTTATGAGAGCGCCATCTTGTGGTACATTTACCACAGTTATGGTACATATATGTTTATTTATTTAATTTTATAAACCCTCAGACTGTGTTCTCATCTGCGTCATCTTTAATCAGCCTTTTAAAATGACTCACAAGCATAACTCATGTTGCTCATATTTGATTTTCAACAAGATGAAGAGACAGGAAGTCCAGCATTCAAGTATTAAGAATACATTTGATCCCCAGCTTCTGACTTCTATCCAATAAGAAAATTTAAAATCTTGAACTTCTTTTTCTTACAGGATGAAAAGAACCAGCTAATGACTACAAATGTCTGGCTGTGGCAGGTATGTACGCTCACATTTACAGTCTTCATGCATCTCGGCTGATTGGTGACCCTAAACTGACCCTTTGTGTGAATGTGAGCATGCGTGGTTGTTTTATTCATTTATTTCTGTGACACCCTGTTCATGGTCTCCTCAGACTTTTACCTTTAGGACCAGATAATGAAATTAGAGATCATTTTGTGATGAAAACATGATGCGCTGCATAGTTTGGTGCTGTCCATGGTGCTGAAAAGGAAAGATTTCCTGGTCTAACTGTTCTAAGAGTAGCTTACTGCACAGGATTATCTTTTTAATCTCTTTTTTTTTTCAAGGAGTGGATTGATGTGAAGCTAAAGTGGAACCCAGATGACTATGGAGGAGTAACCTCCATCAGAGTACCGTCAGAGACTATATGGCTGCCTGACATTGTTCTGTATGAAAAGTAAGTTACTCATTAGTAGAACACCGTGAACTTTTTTGGGGCTTATTTTGGTTCAGTAATTCAAATCAAATAAGTAAAACGTGTCTTATCTCTGTGCTGTTTGGCATTTTTAGTTCAGTAAAATGAACAAAAGTTCAGTAAAATGAACAAAACTTCAGTAAAATGTGTCTTATTTTTGTGTTGTTTGGCGTTTTATGCTTCTGAGTAACCCAATTGTTTGCTAAACTCCTCGTTTTCTGTTTTCTTTTCTTTTCCTCCAGTGCTGACGGTCGATTTGAAGGCTCCCTGATGACCAAAGCCATCGTGCGGTGGGACGGCACCATCACCTGGACCCCGCCGGCCAGCTACAAGTCCTCCTGCACCATGGACGTCACCTTTTTCCCCTTCGACCGGCAGAACTGCTCCATGAAGTTCGGCTCCTGGACCTACGACGGGAACATGGTGGACCTGGTGCTGGTGGACCACTACGTGGACCGAAAAGACTTCTTCGACAACGGCGAGTGGGAGATCCTGAACGCCACCGGAGTGAAGGGGAGCCGGAGGGACGGGGTCTACTGGTACCCCTTCGTCACCTATTCCTTCATCCTGAAGAGGCTTCCCCTGTTCTACACCCTCTTCCTGATCATCCCGTGCCTCGGCCTGTCCTTCCTCACCGTGCTGGTGTTTTATTTGCCCTCGGATGAAGGGGAGAAACTCTCCCTCTCCACCTCGGTTCTCGTGTCGCTCACTGTGTTCCTGCTGGTCATAGAGGAAATCATCCCATCCTCCTCAAAGGTTTGACTCAGAAAACCGTTTAAATCTGAAGGTTTTGCATAACATCAATCAATCAATCAATCAATCAATCAATCAATCAATCAATCAATCAATCAATCAATCAATCAATCAATGTTTATTTATATAGCACTTTACAACAACCGGAGCTGATCAAAGTGCTTTAACATAAATATTTTTACATCATTAATGTGAGATCACTTATCCTGTCCAGTTCTTAGCATGTCTCCTTTACGCATTTCTTTTTTTTTTTTTTTAAACAACACTTTATTGTCTTTTAGAAACAACACAAACAACAACAATTCAGCACAGCCAGGTCTAATCCAAAATATGAAATGTCCAG